TCTCCATATTGCAATTTATTCTTGCAGTTGTTTTTTTCTCCAGAACTAAAGTAACTGGTTACCTGGCAGCCTATCAACAGGAGAAGAAAATTTAAGAGAAATCAATTCATTGTAATTAATATTTAACTGGTTTCTTAAACAGTTTCCAATCCTTCTGTTATTTAAAACATTCTTTTGAAAGAGTGCCTTTTGACTAGTTTAATACGGGGAAAAGATTGATGAATCCCAAATTAGTACTCAGCCTGTGGGATAAAAATGCAAACTTGTATAAAATACTATGCAAGTCCTGTCAAAATAGCTGTGAAATTCAGATTTTATTTTTTTTAATATTGGAAAATTGTTTGTCTGAGAGATTTGTCACACCAAATTCCAATGAAAGTTATATTATACTATAAAATAACATATAATAATATAATATAAAAGCACTAGTAATACTTAATAATGTAATACAACAATCTAACAAGTTTCATTTAATAATATAAAATTGCACCATAGCAATGATATAATCTGAAATTTATTTTGATTTATTTTTTCTAACGTAAATCATTATGTCAAAACATACTGTTGTTTCTTTTGGCTTTGTGCTGTTCAGATAGTGATCGTAAGCATGCAGGTATCGGTAGAGAAGGTTGAAGTTTAAATGAGCTGTGGATCTGGCTGTTACAGGGAAGAGGTGCTTTTAAGTTGTAAAAGAGTTTGAAAAGCTCAGCACTACTATAACATTTCGATACAAGCCTTGTGTGGCCGTGGTATGAAAATGCTTTAAGTTCGACAATTAGCAGAGCTGTAGCTGTTGTATATAGAATCATAGAATGGTAAGGGTCGGAAGGGACCTTAAAGATCATCTGGTTCCAACTCCCCTGCCATGGGCAGGGACACCTTCCACCAGACCAGGTTGCTCAGAGCTCCATCCAACCTGGCCTTGAACACTGCCAGGGAGGGGGCAGCCACAGCTTCTCTGGGCAACCTGTGCCAGGGCCTCACCATCCTCATGGTGAAGAATTTCTTCCTAATATCTAATCTAAATCTGCCCTCTTTTAGTTTACAGCCATTCCCCCTTGTCCTATCACTACACACCCTTGTGAAAAGTCCCTCTCCATCCTTCCTATCGGCCCCTTCAGGTACTGCAGACTGCTCTAAGATCACCCCGGAGCCTTCTCTTCTCCAGGCTGAACAGCCCCAACTCCCTCAGCCTGTCCTCGTAGGAGAGGTACTCCAGCCCTGGGATCGTCCTCGGGGCCGTTCTCTGGCCCCGCTCCAACACACCCATGTCCTTCTTATGCTGGGGGCTCCAGAGCTGGACGCAGGACTCCAGGTGGGGTCTCACAAGAGCGGAGTAAAGGCTGCTAGGACACTGCACTCCCGCCGTGTATTTCTGCAACCATACGTCTGCTCAGCTGTAATTCTCTTTCTGGAGCCTTTTAATGTGGCTGTTGCTTTCTTTCCTGGCAATGAAGAATATCACAGAATCACACAGTCACAGAATGTTAGGGGTTGGAAGGGACCTCTGTGGGTCATCTAGTCCAACCCCCTGCCGAAGCAGGGTCACCTACAGCAGGCCGCAGAGGACCTTGTCCAGGTGGGTCTTGAATATCTCCAGAGAAGAAGACTCCACCACCTCCCTGGGCAGCCTGTTCCAGGGCTCTGTCACCCTCAGAGGGAAGAAATTCTTCCTCATGTTCAGCTGGAGCTTCCTCTGCTTCAGTTTGTGCCCATTGCCCCTTGTCCTGTCGCTGGGCACCACTGAAAAGAGCTTGGCCCCATCCTTCTAACACCCACCCTTCAGATATTTGTAAGCATTTATAAGCTCCCCTCGCAGCCTTCTCCTCTTCAGGCTAAACAAGCCCAGCTCCCTCAGCCTTTCCTCGCAGGAGAGATGTTCCAGTCCCCTCACCATCCTTGTACCCCTCCGCTGGACTCTCTCCAGTAGCTTCTGGTTTTGCACACTGAGCTTAGTATGTATGACAGTATTGCATCCCTCACTTTTTTTGGTACTGGCTATCCATAAAATCTTATTTGGACGTGGAATTGGTCTTGCTGTCTCTTAAAGCTTTTGAAGGTGAAATTATTTTCTCTGCCCTGGTGAGGCCCCATCTGGAGTACTGTGTCCAGTTCTGGGCTCACCAGTTCAAGAAAGATGAGGAGCTACTGGAGAGAGTCCAGCTGAGGGCTACAAAGATGATGAGGGCACTGAAGCATCTGTCCTATGAGGAGAGGCTGAGGGAGCTGGGCTTGTTTAGCCTGGAGAAGGCTGAGAGGGGACCTAATAAATGCTTATAAATATCTTCAGGGTGGGCGTCACGAGGACGGGGCCAGACTCTTTTCAGTGGTGCCCAGCGACAGGACAAGGGGCAATGGGCACAAACTGAAGCTTAGGAAGTTCTATCTGAACATGAGGAAGAAACAAAGAGGCAGAGGCAAGGGCAGAGACTTAGGGAACTGCAGGCAGGGATGAAGACCGCTCTCCCAGAGAGCAAAAAAAGGAGTAGGGAGACGAACATCACTGCATTTCTGTAGAATTCTTATTTTACGGGGTTTTGTGAGCTTCGTGGTGTGGAGCTGGAGGAACAATATGGAATACAGAACTATAACTTATAACTTTTAGAAAATATTAGGTGTTTAATAAAAATGTGTAATAAGGAACAAGATACATCTGTTCTAGACTCTTGGGGAACGAATAGAACTCTATAACCATTATAGCTTCTGTTTTTAAAATGTAGTTTACTTTTACAGCTTGTGCTCATATAATCTTGTTTCCTAGAGCATGTAAGGTTTTAAAAGTTCCTGAAGATTTAATTTAAAATTAAAAAATAACAATTACTGAACTTAAAAGTTTTGCTAAACACTTACAATTTTCATCTGATTATACCTTGTTTAGAAGTATAATTTAGAGTAGAATAACAAGTACAACTAATGAAACAACAATATAAACAAACCAATTAAAGGAAAAATTGAATTAATATCCAGAAAAAAAGTCTTGAATGACATCTATTTAGGCATGAGTTCATTTTGAAATTTAAGAGGCAGAAAGCCAGTTGCTGGATACATTATAAACGCAGAGAGTATGTTGTTGGTCACAGACCTGAACTGTCTGGTGATTAAAGTATGTGCTTTAAGTTTTCCCATCTTAAATTTTTATCCTTTTTTGAATTTACATGGTGAGATTTCCTTTAAGCCCTGTATGTTATGCAAGAACCTGTTTTAAAACAGCTGTAGTTTGACACAACAGAGAAAGAGAAATTGATGCTTAAAAATGCTTTTCTCAATTTGATTTATTGCTGAATAGCTGAAGAATTACTTTGGACACCTTTACCCAAGTCACTTGTGTCCCATGTATTAATTTCTTTTCTTCAATACTGACAGAGATGTACATTTATATCGCTGTTTGGAATGTATGTTCATAGCAAACCCCACACTCTTCCTAACATACCATAATGCTTTTACCATAAAGAGTATAGGGGCCTATGTTTTGCTGCCGTAAGGCATTTCATACCATGAAAATCATTGACTGGATATTATGCAAGGCATGTGACATAGTGGGCAGTAATGTAGCTACACAAAATTTTAAAGCAGTAGTAAGTTGCTTAGCTTATTGGACTGAATTCCTTGATAAGAATTTCTGATATGTTGAGAGTTCTTTATGTAATGGGAAAAAAAATTTCTGGCTCATACTTAGCTGGTCACTGTGTCACTGGCTCTGGGACTTGTAAAATGTAGAAAACAAAAATATGTCGCATTATTTTTGCTAGTCTGGTGTACTTGACATGTTTCTTGCTCATTTTACATATACTGTATAATCATACGTACATTTTTGGTCCTGTGTATATTTCTTGCAGCTATGAGTTTCTCTGTTCACAAAACTTAAATAGCAAAATTAGTGAATAAAGCCAAAGAGAGAATTACACACAGGACTGTCCCATTGTGGTTGAAATTTTTGCTCTGTTTTGATGTGATATAATAAATAGGGAAGCAAGCATGTGATGTGAAGCCTTAGGTATCTCAGGCTGCGTGTTTGTGGTGGTTTCCTTTGTTTGCCTGGGAAGGTCTCATTGGGAATGGCAGTGAAATCTCAAACAAACTTTGGATGAGGGCACAAACTACGGTGTAGAAAACTGGGATTTCAACAGTGAAAAGCTTCATCATATGCCATATTTCCAGTCATATCAGCTGACTTTGTATTTGCTTTTCTGAATTATAGTGCTATTGCTGCTGATGGATACTAAGCTCAATTTAGTGACCTTAATGTAGGTGTTTGATGCTGACTGAAAGACCTTAGAGAGTGTCTGAGGCATAAGCTGTATAGATACGGCATGGCATCCATGGACCTCAGGGCAGCAGATGGAAGCTAGGAGGGATTGCACGCACATCTGAAATATCAACCAAAACAACTGCTTAGGCAAATAGATTGAGCTTTTGGTGTTAGTCCTGTGGTACTTCTAACTTGTTTTTCTTCGTACCTTCAACAGTAAAAGATCTCTGAATTTAGAAATACAGGTTTTCTTCAGTTACTGTCCTAAAGCACTGGTGACCATTGAAGAAATGGTTTCAATATATGCTTCTTGTATTTCCTTGTAAGTTACAGAATCAGAGAAGAAAAAAATATTTTTATTTTAAGCGATGAGTTTTGACAGCTGATCGACTTCTAAAACAGGTGAAAACAATTGAAACATTGTTAGAGAAGCTCAAATAACAATACAATGCAACCATTTCACTGGAGAATTTTTGGAAAGAGAAAATTGAGAAACATTTTTCCTCAAGCTATTTACAACCTTACTTCAACTCATGCTGAATGTGCTTGCCAAGAATGGAGTGTATTATTTTTACATAAAACACTCTTTTTTTTGGCATTCCAGGAAATCCTATTAAAATAACCAATATTAATTTCTACAAGGGTCCACTGACTTACTAAAATCTGGAGCATGTTTAAGCAGTTGTTTGTAAATTTTAAAGAACGATCTTGGTTTTACTCAGACCTCTGCATCTGTGTTTCTTTGTTTCAGATTGAGGAGGATACGTGGCAGAAATACTACCTGGAAGGAGTTGCAAATGAAATGTACACAGAATATCTGTCTAGTGCCTTTGTGGGTTTGTCCTTCCCTGCAGTTTGTGAGTAAGTAGAAATACATATGAATGTGCATTAGTATTTGCCTTCTCTGAATTGAAATCTTAAGTTTCTGCAGGAGATCTTTTCACTCTGCTACAGTCCTAATGTTGCTACATCAGATGGGGTCCAATAAAATAAACATTAAAGCAATCACTGCACGGAAGTATTCCAAACATTGCAATGCCTGCTTCAGAAGAGATTTGGAATTAAGTGATAGTAAATGAAAGCATAAATGTTTTCAGGGTTGAGCAAATTAATCGGCAATCTATTTAAATTGAGTTATTTACTCGTAAGTGCTGTCCTACTGCTGCTTCTAATGATTCCCATTCTTTGAACAGAGATTGTCAGCACCACCGTCCGGGCTTATATCCCATTCCAAGGAAGCTATTCATTGATTGAAACAGATGTAGCGGAGTCATATAAGCAATGTGGCACCCAGAGCTCTGTGGAGCTGGTTGCAAACCACTTTTAACAAGTGAAATATGTCAGAAAAAATAATGTCTGTTTTGTAATGAGAAAGAAGCGTTTGAAGCGTATTGTATATAACCATAGCATAAGCCATGCTACGGCTTTATTTCTAGAGACTGAAAATCCTTCTATTTGTCCTAGAATGGTTCTGTGAATGAGAGATTTGTATGCAGAGGTTTTGTATGATAAATGCTATGGCCACAAACATAGTCAAGAAAGTTTAGCACAGTCGCATTTCCTCTTCTGTTGGCATTGTTCTTCGTTACAGCCGTACCAAAAGGTCACAACAAAGACTGTGGACAGCTTTTGCTAGGCACTGTTCAAATGCTTAAAAAGACACCTTATTCTGGAGATCTGATGTCTAACTAAATAACAGAAAAACTTCTGCCGACTCCATTCTTAAAGGGGTAAATAGAGGAAGAAGTAAGATCCCATCTTGTATGTAAAGGAGAAGGATTTTGGTTTGGCTCCTCTCACTTCTTCCACCTTTTTGAATTTTTACAGTAGCATAAATATAAGTTATGACATAAGAATGAGGGAGAAACAACTGTTAGACAAATGTTACCCATTTAAAAATCTGTCTATTGGTGGGATGTAGCTAGAAGAGAGTCCAGTCTTTGCTAGCAAAATGAAGGGGCTCACAGTCCATTCCTCCACTACGTTAAACAGACTGTGACTAGGTTATTGAAGAAGAATGTTTATAACTATAAGCACAAAACTTTGCCTGGATATCTTGAAAGAGAAAATCTCGTAAGATATTCTAGAAACTTGTATTCTATTCAGAATGAATGGTAATTTGTGCTGTTTACACTAACTACAATCATGAAAACTAAATCTCCATGCCAAACCATTGTCAAACATAGTGGAGTTTCTATAGGAGTTCTCAGAAACATGTGACTGAGACTGTATTTGACATAAAGCTGTGCCTGGGATAAAATAATGACTAAAGAAAGGGCATTTATTAAGATTTAGAAACATGTCGAAATTGGGAGCTCTCCTCAAGCATTTGGTTTTCTGGAGGCTTAATTAACTGTGTTTCCTCATTTCAATTAAAGAAAAATATTTATCTCAAATTTTCAAATAGTTTAATAACTATTAAATTCAGGTTATTTAAAGCACATTGAAAATTAAAATATAGTATTACATATTAATGAGTTTGAGGCATAGATATTTTCGTTACTGTAAGAATTGTCTATTTGATTTCCAGAAGAACCAAAGGACATCAAAAAGTCTGTTGCATTGGTTTGTAAAGGGGAAATAAAATCAGTGGGAAGGCTTAATGTGATCAACTACCCACAAAATGTACAGACTTTGAAAACAGTTTTTGTAATTTAGCTTTGAAAATTCATGCAATCAATGACATTTTAAAACCCTGACACTAAATGACATGTGCTGCTTCCTCAGGTGATTGATCTTGATTCCCGGTCTAGGAGTGTGATGCTTTGGTAAATAGGCTGCCATACAGTTTGGATAACAAACAGAGAGTGCAGAAACATCTCCTCTTTCAGTGGGGATGGGACACTCAATATTGTTGAGGAATTCCAAGCTATTGATATCAACACCAGGGGGAAGAAATTAAGTTAAAGTAGAAGTTAGTATCAGTCTGCAATTTTTATTTCTAATTCTGAGTAAATGTGTGTGTACTGTGTGAACATATTCCCAGCAATATATATGTTATATGTGAATGTAATTGCTATTATTCTGTGCCCTTGGATACTGTTGCACCAGATGTGGATGGTGCTGATTGAAGAGTAAACTAGCCAAACTGTCCCCCACTAGCACAGAGTCTTCTAGCAGACTTTCTAATATTTAGTAATGCAAGGCTAACCTTCACCCAGGTTCTAGACCCACCGTTCTCCACCCAAAAATTTCCTTAGTGAGGCAACATGTCTGTGGATTCACACTTCACCTAGCAGTGGAAACAGTATATGAAAGGTGTCCGCTTCTCTTAATATATGTTAAATTGGGCCCATTTTCTGTTGGTTCTATTTTTGAAGTCATTCATGCAGTCAAATGACATAGCCATGTTTTAATAAAAGGTGAAATTATGGAGATGTCATTATCACTGTATATATGCAGCATCTTGTTGTATGGTTTATTGTAGGCGTGGGTAACGGACCTTTGTAACGATGTGACCCCAATATGAGTATGATCGTACAGCTTTATTAGTCAGCAAAACAAGGTTTATATAGCAAAACTATTACAGCATCTGAATGGTTAAAGCCCCAACCCATATATAGGCAAAACTACTGCAACTCGTTGTGATTGGTGCAGAGCTGCATCTCGAAGTGAAAACAGTACTGTGGCAGGAAACAGCAACGTGGCAGGAAGGAAGTGACAGTGTGGCAGGAAACGGTGATGTTCCCCCTGCTCCAGTGTCCCGAGCTCGTCGCTCTGCCTTCCCAGCAGGGTTCCGTGTCAGCCGCTCCCAAGGCTCACCTCCGGATCAGAACCTGGGTTGCTCAGCGCACCAAACTATGTCCCCTCTCGTCCAGCCAGGACTCCACAGTTTATAACTATAAGGTATAGTCCAACATTAGTTGTGAAGTTCTTTATATCGTTTTCTAACAGACCATTTGGTGAGCTAATCACAGAAGTCTTGGAAACTTCACTGTCCTGAGAAAGGAGAACCAAGTTAGGCGAGTAGGTAACTCGGCACTTGTCTGCGTTCTCTCTCAGCTCCACCACAGATTATTTATGTTTTGGATATATTCATAGTAGTAGCACTTCCTAGTCTGAGAGTGACTCCAAATGAAGCCAGTCTTCCGCAGAGCAAAGACAGCATGGGCTACCTGCAACTGTCAAGTTCTTGCCTCTATCTTTGGATCATTGTCTTCAGCTAGATTTCTAACTTGTCTCAGAGAGTGAAGTATATCTTAGGCACTTTTGGACTCTTGAGACTTCAGCCACACGTAATATGACCAGTTACACTGCTCTGAAGCAGTGATGCTGGATCAGTCCATACCTGTTAAAATAAGAGCTTTTTCTTAAACCCAGGGTTTTATTCAACATTGCAGATGTGTGTCAAATTTTGGATTCAACAAACCTAAGCCCAGCTCAGATAGTGGCTGAGTCACAAGACAACCTCTAGACTGACATGACTCTAAATGAACCTTTCCATCTTCTGACTGTGATTAAAATCAGATTCCATCTGCTTCTGCCAGAGACGTCTCCTAAATTTTACACTTTCCTCCACTTTATGCCTTCGGGAACTCTACTCTGGGTCCCTGCAGTGAAAGGCTGGCCACCTCCACTGCCTCCACCTATGCAATGCATACATGCTGAGTGGTCCCGCCAGCACACCTCCGAGACACCAAGATCCAAAGCATGAAAACATGTTGTAAGGTCCCTCTGTGCTCCCTAATTTTGTCTCAGTGGACAGCAACCTTTTCACGAGTATGAAAAGGTGGTTTCAGTAGAAAATTATCCATAGATCAGCACAGAGGCCTTACAGCTTCACACAGTTCTTTAACGCGTGTAAAGTATGGAGGCCTATGTTACCATTGCCGATGTTTACACCATGTTTTTGTATAACCTGGATTTTACTACACATGGTACAAGTAATAATTAGTGGGTTAGTAATTACTGGATAAATTTTCAAAACTCTGTATATGTGGCAGACAAGTTTCCTATTCATGGCTAGAAAGCAAACAATACCTATTTTTATAAAGCAAGCTTGTTTTTGTTGTGCTTAAAGCCTTCAGCAGAGCTCTTATTGGAACAATATCCTTACTTAGTTTTCTTATTCCAACATGATCAGCTTTAATGGGAGCCATAAAGAATGAGTGATAGTTTTGTGTAGCAGGATAAGTATACACAAAAGTAATAAATGACAAAGATTTATGAAACTCTTCAGCCAGGTGTGGATTGGAGTGGGATGTATTCTGCAGCACTTCACAGTGCTTCCATTGCATTTCAAATCAGTAATCATCTTATAAACCAAGATAAAATTTGTTGTGGGAAAAACAGACAAAAATCAATGTAGTGTTCTGTATTGACATTTCTTACATTCAGTGTTTCATAACGGACTAACAGGTCAGCAACCAAAGCCTGTTCAATATTCAGCTCATGTTCTCGCTACCATCCTAGTAATGGTATTGATGTCCACTAGCGTGAGCAGCACATTTATTTGCTAACCTGCTCTTCATCTTGTCGGCAGCCACTGACTGGAAGTGGTACAAATAATTAATTTGTATGAAGTACTTCTGTGTCTATATATGTGTAAATAGAGAAAGTAATGTGTGTACTTAAAATGGGCTTATAAGGAAGATGGGGGACAGGATTTTTAGCAGAGTCTGTAGTGATAGGACAAGGGGTAATGGTCTTAAACTAAAAGAGGATAGATTTAAACTGGATATAAGGAATACATTGTTTTACAGTGAGGGTAGTGTAACCCTGGCACAGGTTGCCCAGAGAGGTGGGAGGTGCCCCATCCCTGGAAACATTCAAGGCCAGGCTGGTCAGGGCTCTGAGCAACCTGATCCAGTTGAAGATGTCCCTGCTCACTGCGGGGGGGGTTAGACTAGATGACCTCTAAAAGTCCCGTCCAACCTGAACTATTCTATGATACTATTATCATTTTAAACTTGATCAGATAACCACTTACATCAGTGCTTACCTTTAAATTTTTTGAGTAGTTCTGTGAAACTCTACTATTGGAGTATTTGCTTACATTTTTTTCCTTGCCTGAGCAGTACAAATACACTCAGTATCTGGAAGAACCCAGCTGTGGGTTGAAAGCAGAAGGTGCCCGTGCTTTTGCCGGTTTTGTATGATTGGAAATTAGCTGAGCCTGAAATTACCAAACCTTTAAAAGGGATATTTGGGTTATTAAATATATATTATGATATTTTCTACTTCAACTTACAAACCTCATTGACTACACTTGTTTTAGACACTGCTGCTCCATATAATTAAAGTACCTGATATACTTCCAACTTCTAAGGAACACAGCCTACTAGCAAGCACCAGTTGCCAATGTATATAAAAATTGTTTGAAAAGAAGACAAAAACAATATATTTGATATTGTAAGTAATTTGCTCAGCTTAAGATGCTACTAGAAGACACTACTTTTTTTATCAGGAACAATATTTTTCCATATATTTTTTAATAGGGGAATAGCAACATGATTTATCTTGTATCAAAATACTTTTGCTAACTGCAGCTTGAACCAAGGTATGGAAGTAGATTGAAAGTACTTTTTCTCCTCTGAGGAGAGTACCTATTCCTTTGTCAAAAGTAGTTCAGCAAAAAATGTTATAAGTGACCGTGAGGAAAAAAATTGAATGGAATACGGTGTACAGGATTTCAATCAAAAATTTGTTTGAAGTGAAAAAACTTTCTTCCAGTGGGTGTTCTAATTAAAACCATTTTTTTAATGTTTGGTACAAAATTAAATAGTTGAGAACTAATCAAGTTTGTATTTTCATGTTTTTCTGCTCAGAAAGGAAAATTATAATTTCTTGAAATTCTAAAACTCCCAGTACTTTCACATGCAAGTAATAACGCAGGTATCTGTGGTTAATTTATGCCAATGATAGTCTTACCAGTAAAGAAGGAAGATTTAATGTCAAAACCAATTTATTTCTCTCTGGGTAGATAGAAATGGTCAGATTCAAATTCTGAAGAGCCTTTGTTCATGGCCATCTGTGTTCATCAGTAGTTAGCAGATGATGCTGACAGTTGAAAATAAAATATAAATTAATGCCTCATGTACTGTCATTGACAGTTTTTGTGGACTTCTACGTAATAATTAGAGATCAGTTAAATGGTGAGATTTACTAATCCTTATTTTTAATTGCATAGCCAAGTGCATGTAAACCTATTTATTTTACCACTTAAATATTTTTAGTTTTTAGGGAGATACATGTGTAGATAGGTTATCAAATACTGGGAAACCAAGGAAGAGAAGTTAAGTGTGTTTCCTAAAGGAATGTAGGTGTTCAAAATAAAACAAATAGATTTAGAACTCTTGACACTTCACGGCTCATGAAGTTGGATTTTATGATATCATCTTTTTAAAAACAGATTGGTCATAGTCTTAATAGAACATGTAATGTACTCTAGTATTACAATTGAATTTCTGTTTTATGTTTCTTTTTTTGAAGCTGATAGGCTTTGTTAACCTCTTAAAAGGTGATGGGTGGTGATGGCCTAATCGAGAATTTGGTAACTCAGGATTTTGTCTGCCCATTTGTGACAATGGCTGGTGTTCTGAGGGTAGAAAAAGTTTTGATTAGTTTTGAAAAAAGTGAAATGAGTATTGCCCCAATCTGTCTTGCTGTGTTACCTCCCAGTACCGAGATATCATCTGCCTCCCTAGACAAGTAGTCTACTTTTACAATCCTTTGAAAGGAAATTTTTTTGAAGAAAAACTATGCTCAAATATTACACTGCAAAACTTAAACAAAGCAAATTATTATATGTGTTTTTACGTGATATGCAGCACATTGCCTCAGAACCCCTACATCCATGCTTATCTGTAATTATTCTCTTATCCTGAAGAAATAGCAGAAATTAACTGTTCACGGTGATTTCTGGAACTTATTATAAAAATGGAATATTACTAATTCAGCAGCCAGTTCCTTGTTTTTTTGCCAAGTGTATGATGGATGCAAAGTATGCAGAATATTGCTTAAAGAAAATAAATATTCTCAAAATATATGCAAAAATATGAACAGCACTGAAATAAGTAAGTTTGTAGAGAAGCAATGAGCACTGGAAAAGTTAGTGTGTGATGCAGAACATGGCAGCCATCTAATTGGAAGGTGAGCCCTAGAATAATTTGTGACAATTTCATAGAACAGGAAGCAAGTAGCATTGAATTTACATACACTTCAAAGACAAAATTGGAAAATTGTTTCTTTGCTTATTCTCAGAGAGCCCATTAGCTTGAAGCAAATGGTGTTGTGCTAACTCACAGTTCTGCAAGTCTATGAGTATCACCCTTGAGTTGTTTTAATAAATAGCCACTTCTACAGACTTTTAAAACTGAAAAAATCTGTATTGCAGTATTGGAATGTACTTTCCATACATTGGTCAGTAATTGCTGCCATTCATGCCGTTCCTCTGTGACAGTAGTCGGCAAATATTGACGTATTAGTACTGTACTCTCAGTTCAGTTCAGTATATGCATATTTTTACATAGGAATGTACACCACAATCAATATATGGCTAAATTCCAGCAAAGAGTTGAAAGATTTCCCCAAGTCGTCCACAATTATAACCAAATGCATTTTTATGTTGTGTATCATGACCTTGGTTATTATTGGTTAAGTAGACTTAGTAACATAGTGTTGGTGCTTGTGCTACTGTTCTCAACTTGTCAGTTTATATTTTTAGGAAAATACGCATTTGTTATCTTCAAAATAAAGACCTTAGTATACGTTTTGTGTATACCTAACTGAAAAAATGGGAAAGGATCTTAGTGTAAGTTCTCGAAGAAAATACATACCCCGCAGCCATCTCTACGTAAGTGAAGTTGGTTGTGAAAAAGGACTGACTCTTGGCCTCTTCTCTTCCTGCAGACTGGTGTTTGCGAAACTAAAGCTCTTAATGATAGCCATAGAATACAAGTCGGAAAAACGAGAAAGCAGGTATGTCCAATGCCTACGAATGTTGAAGTTCTGGAATGCACTGTCAAGAATTGTGCCTGCTTTTTTTTCAGAATGAACATAGTTATTCTCATATTTTTGAAACGTTTCAGAATATAATTAGCATGCCATCATGTTACACCATTTCACATAGCGCTGGAAGGCTTTTATTTCTGCCTCCTTCTTCGCTAAAATTACTTTAGGTCAGAACACTTAGCAGAAGGTGGAGCGGGCAGTGGTCCGTATGTCCCATCTCCAGAAGTGCAATTCATTTTTACTTTCAATGTTTTTGTTCATAATCTGTCAGTTTTAACTGGAGGTCCAACTTATTTTGCTGAAAATGGAAAAACAGAAAACAGATGTGATATCAAAACTCATTACAGCTGTGTGTATTCTCAAAATAATAATTTAATTCATATGAGTTTGGAAGAACTAATTTAGATAGGATGCAGAATAAACAGAAATATAGGATAAACATAGTATTTATACAGTATCTGTTCTGAGAAAAATTGCATGTATGAATAACATCATGAAACTCGAAAATATTAATTTAGCCTTGAAATTACCAACTGGTTGAGTCCTTTCATCAACCAAAAAGAAAAAAAGTCATTATTATTAGTACAGATTCACAGACAGGAAGTGTTTCTTGCATTTTCTTCATACAAAAATTCATAAGCATATGTGTGAACATTGAAGTCAATCTTCTATTGACTCGTCCATCAGTGCTTTACACAGCATACATTTTTGTATAACAAAAATGTTATAAATGTGCTCTGCAACATGTGGAGGGGCAGATAGTAAAAATATGATAATACTGACACTGAGCTGAATTTGATTTTCCTCTGTCAAAAATTGCATTTTGTACTTCTGTAGTAAATCTGGGCTGATATATATTAGTTCATCTTATTTTTGGCCACTAATTACCTAAAAATTTTGAGGGTAATTGTTTCTCCACACAGGAGATCCAATTCTGTCATTTGAGCTCATGCCACAATTTCTGAGGTTTTTAAAGTTTATTTTAATGTTTGTTAATATAGGTGTTCATTTTTCTTTGTAACACATGTCTATAAAATCTACGCAGAGCATTCGATGTGGAAAATATAATGTTACAAGTGTTTATAAGAGTATATCCGTGCCCTGTAGTTGGTTTTGCTTGATTCTTTCCTATGTTATAAAGTGATATGTGAAGTGGTGTATGTGCTAGCGGATATTATTTTGGTCCACACTATGCTGGTTAAAAAATGCTTTTTTGAAAAAAAAAAATCAAATTTTTTAAATGTTTCCAGCTCCCAGGAGCTCTTAAAATACTTTTCCATTGAATAATCTCATTCTACATTAGCTAATGAAAAGCAAATGTTTTGTTATTCTTTTATCTCTGAACACTTTAATGTCTTCCTAGAAAAACGAAAAATATGACAGTAACAGCAGATGAACTATTTACCAGATTTTGTATTTCTAATATTAGAAAATATTTGGTTTCTGTTGGTTCTCTGAAGAATTATTGCCCAACTTCAGTGGTCATTTACTTACAGAAGTGCTAATATTACAGTCTTTTTCAGTAATAACAGATAATTCATAGTTTCCATATAATTCTTTGCACTAACTTCAGTGGCAGTTGGATTGAGCTCTTAATCACAAGGTGATGCAGAGAATCCCACTAAAATTAGCACAACGTGATGCAATCATATGTTCCTTCTTACTTAAAGCTGCGCAGGTAACAGTTCACAATTAATTGATTTGGAAAAAAAAAAAAGGCCTAAAAATCGCAGGAAACAACACTAACAAAGGGATATGAACAGCTGGATTTTGTGAATATGCATGTGACAAGAGGGAGAGCATGTAAGCTAGATACTCACATTTTCTTATAACTCCGATCCACAGTGGCATCTGCTGACTTTATTGACAAGTGATAATTTTATTGTCACTGTTCAGTGAATCACAGAGCTACCTGCAGCGTATCTTTACTGTTCTACTTGTTCCTGGGCTCTTCAACTCAAATATTTTAAGTACATATTTGTGGTTTTCTGAGCTGGAGCCTTTTAGTCTAACCAGCAAGGTAATGGAACAAAACTTCAGTTTCTCCCTTTTTAGGTATGCTTGCATTTCCTTGTATCTTCTTAAATGAAAATATGAGAACTTAAGATAAAAATTAGAATAACGTAGTTTACAAGTGTAAGCTGGCTTTGAACAAGATAAATATGTCACTTGCCAAGTATATTTGTTGATGTTGACTTTAAAAATATTTTATTCTACTTCATATCTGAAGTTCTTTATTGGTAATTCTTCATAAAGGTGAAGGGGAACTGATTATGGTACCCTTTGAGCTTTTGCTCTTTATGAGTGACCAACAGTAGATACGTGCTAAATTATTTTATGATTATATTTTAATTTCATCTTTTGTAGAACTATTGAGAGGTGTTACACATTTTACAATTTAGAGCAAAAATAATAATTACAAATAAAAATGTAGCATAGTATCTAGGTGACACTTTTATTCAGAGCTAGTATTTCCAGCCATAGCTGAGACAGGTCTAGGACCAGTATTTTCAGAAGCAGAGGAGATTTTCAAAGCATTCTTTCTGCCTTAGGAATGAGAAAATCTTACTCCCACCAGTTTAATTTTTGTTACTAGTCATAACAGAATATCTGTACAAGGAAATTACATATTCAATTTTTGTACTTACACAGGGAGTTTCCTTTTAAGATTAGTTCCATCTGCCTTCATCACTCTGCACTCAGAGCTAAAGCAACACAAAGTGAATTCAGAAGTGTGTGCAGCTCTCAGAAGTGGTAATGGGCCACTAGGTTGGGGCCTTCTAGATTGCCTAATTCCCTCTCTGCATTTTCATCTCAGTGTTAAGGATAAATCTTAGTACCATTTTAAGTCAATGGCAGAATTTTCGTTGACTTTGTTAATGTCTTCATTACACTTAGAATGGCATAAATACACATTTACCTGTGCACTTTTTTTTTCCCTAGGTAGTCTCCTAGATGTCAGTTTTCTAGAGCTACCTGAATTACTGCCAAATTCTGTTAACTCTACCATAGGGAATTTGAAATCAATAGTAATTATAATTCATCAGAACTCCATCTAGGCTAATATTAATGTACGTGTTTGCAGTAGCTGAGCTTCCTGCTTGCAGTTGGGTTTCTTCCTCTTTTTTTCCTGACTCCTAGTAAAGCTACACAAAACAGTAAGCACACCTTGATAACAAGTTTTGACAGTAATGGATTGTTAATTATAAACAATATATGCTTCTACAAGATTGCTTAAAAGCAGAAGTTAGATGTTTTCAAGCCTAAATATAGGTAATATAGTCATAGATATGATAAATACAAACTAGTTTTCAAATAATGGATAAAGTATCTATAGTATGTTTATCTTTTTATGCAACTGTTTCTCACCAGGGTATGTTAAAGATTAATTAAGACAACCATTATTAGATTTTTTGTTATTACATTTATATATTTAATGTTTAAATTACCATTCAGTTATCAAAGAAGACTCTGAGTTTACAAAGTGTGACTGAATTCAGTGAGTTTCTGACCAGTTACTAAGGTCTGTACCTTAGTTATATCATGAGTTACCATTCCTTCATCTCTTGTTAGTGTCTGTGAATATTATAATCAGTTGTTAAGAGCAGGAGACACTTTTTAAATCAGTTTTTGTGTCCCTGCTGCAAGCCAAATAGTTTAGCTTAAAAAAATATTCTTTCTCAGGTCATTTTTAGAGAGGTTTTGTTTCTTCCATACAACAAATGGTAACGGAACTTTGAGAACATCAACCTGAAAATTTCCCAGCAGAGAGTACTGAATAGATAGTAAGAAATATAAGTTCAAAATGCAGACATTCAAACTTCTCATCTAAAATACCTTTTAGAGATATTTTTGCCTTCATTTTTTCCCCCTGTATTTTTTTTCCCCACATGAGTAGGCAAGAAGGAAAGCCTAACCAGGATTCTTCCCTCCTGCACCCTGTGTTTACTCCTCTTGTTAAATTTTCTCTTTGTCTATCCATATATTTGTTCTCATTCTCAGCAGAAAAACCTTTGAGCCTTGAAGACTTTGAAATAAAGGGTTTTTTTGCTTTTGCTTTGGTGTCACTTGATATCTTATCAAAGTGTTTGATTTGCAATTTTTTTCTTGTCGTTTGCAGAAGCCGAAAGCGGTATGCCCTCTTCGTTACCTTTCCTTCCAACCTCAATCCTACCTCCACTCCTAACTTCAGGACTAATTCCTTGCCAAGAATACAGGAAGATAACATCTTTGTCTATCTTTCTCTGTATATACACACACATATATACATATGTATATTCATCCGTCTATGTGTGTGTGTATATATATATCTGTGTGTATATTTACCTATGAGCCCCCAATCTCAAAGAGGAGAGAGAACAGTATTTTGTCTCTCTGTTGATTCTTGTGACTCACGCACTAACTTCTTTGCAGGAAGTACAAAATGAATCGGTATCAGTTTTTTAGGCTTTTTTTTATCCCCTTGTGCAGTCATTGATGTATCAGATTGTTGCATTTGAAAAACAGACTTTACTGTTAACATCTCCTCTCCTCTTTTTTCATTTGTACTGTATCCTGACGATGTATATTTCATCTTTACCAGCCCTTGTGCTGCCATATTGTCTCCATATTCACACCTTCATTGATGTCCTCCTTTCCCCAGAGTCTTTCCTCAAAACACGCCTTACAGTACAGTAGTTCATGTTCTCTTGTAGTCTCACTTTCCATTAACAACAACCAAATACCTGATTCTTTTTATTGCTGGTCCTGTTTTGGACCCAGTTGTTCATGATACAGTACTCATCAAAACTATTGTACTGTTCCAGTGAAAGTGCCATGGATAGTTTGTACTATATGTCACATCCATTTTAATGACATTTATTAAGCTCATTTATGAAGATGTTACCGAATGTATTTGTTTCTCAGTTTTGGTTTTTCTTTGGGATGGCATGTTTTGCATTTTCTTTTGGTACACCATGCTGTGAGCC